CGGAAAGCTTCTGACACGTTCCGTGTGTTATATAGGGAAATAATACAACAAATTCTTCCATGCAACCCTCCTCATTAACTTTCTCGCATACTGCATAACCCAGCTGATCAGGATTTGCAGCCCTCCCCACCCACCTCTTCTTTCAGTATTCAATCCGCGTTTTGCGGCAAGCTTGAAGTCCAAATTTTCTTTGCAACATAATTTGGCTATTGTGTCCGGGCTGTTGCCATTAAACCGTACCCAAGTTTTGAGGTCCAGACATAAGGGTTGTTCGAAAAAGGGTTCGGTGTTGTCGTTTGAAAGCTCTATGAACAGTACCCTGTCATAGAGGTCGGGATGTAAGGTTAGTTCAAAAACGGGTCCGGGTTGTCGCCTGAAGAAGTGAGCGGGTTGTCTAAGCGGCTCAATAGCAGGGATGGACGCCGTTAGGGGGAAAACAAGATGCGCATTCAGATTTTTAAGGAGAGCGTACAACTTTCAAAGAAAGTAAGGTTTAGGGCTCGACGCAGTCGTCAAGAAGGGGTCCGCGCTACTGTCAGGCGGCCGAAATGAGTCTGCCATCGAAAATGGGACAATTTCAAGCTAAGTTCCATCAGATGGTAAAAAAGGGTTTCAAAAGTTCGAGAGTTCGTTACCCGAAGCAGGTGCGGCTAGAATGGGATGCTCATATCGCCCCCTCTGGCGGACCGGCACAGGGCTTCGAAAAACAAAAACAAAAATAAAGTTTAAAAAGCACAGAAAAAGCATGAGGCTCAGGCCGGAGTGTTTAGGATTGAATAAGTCGGTCGGACAGAAGTTATCGAAGAGACTCCAGTATGACCTTTAGGCATGCTTTCTGAGGGTTTAGATTGGCAGCGAAGACAATTTGCTAATCGTATGGACACGAGTGACAGTCACTCCTTCCTACGTAAAGTGATCAGGGGTCCCTGGGCCGTAACGTGGAGAAGTGTGGAAGTTGGGTACACATGTAATTTTGGCTTGCCAGTGGATGAGAAACCGGGCTGACGCCTCCCAGAACACTTGCAAAGCTAATTGTAAAAAGAAACAAAAAGTGTGACAGCAAGCAACTTCAGGCCACACTGAATGCCCTCTAACAACAGTGACGACAAAGCGTACTCCACGTTTGGCCATCAATTCTGTCATCCACTCATAACATCATACGAGGAAATATCAAATGTCTGAAGCACATTTATCCTTTTTGAACGCTCGTACAGTCCTACCGACTACCAATACTCTCTCTCTCTCTCTCTCTCTCTCTCTCTCTCTCTCTCTCTCTCTCTCTCTCTCTTTGTGTGTATGGTTGTGCGGCTCGGTCACCAGGGCATCTTGACCTGAAGTGTTTTAGTCCGTGTGCAAGTCGATCGCTTGACGCTGCCAGGAACAATCTGCAAGCTGTCACTTTTAAGCATTTCCACCATTTCCTGTGGTAGATCAGTGCAAGTCGATCGGATTGCATGGCCAGTGTGCTTATTGAGGTCAAAAGGACTAACCCAGCGAACATTTTTCTGGCATTCCAAAACAGACCCCACCAGCAGCCTTTGCAAAGATAGAGCAACAGACAAAAGGTGTGCAGTTTAACTTTCTTGTTTTCAGGAGCCACGCATACACGGACATGCCATGGAACACAGAAATTCGAGACCTATGTATTTACAAGCAGTAGACATTCAAAAACGTCCTGCCATGATGTCAAAAGCACCCTCATTCCACTATTCATAGAGTGTGATCAGACGTTTTCCATAACACCACTGCTCAGACATTTGAGGAAGAGGTAGGCAAACACAGATGTGTCAGTTTCTCGCAGGTCCACGATGGACAGGCTGAGAGACAGTAAAGCTAGGCAATTCTGAAAAATGTCATCAGACTTTGTAACACCACCATCCCAGTACACAAGCCAACCCCCATGTTAATCATCCGCTGGCTGTGCGCACGTGTTTGATACGATGCCGAGGAGAAGTTTAGGGGACGGGAGGTCATGTGACATTTGTGCATTTGTTAACTGACGCTAAGAAGGGTGAGGTGTAACAACTTTCTCTAGACCATCTTTGTGCACCTTATCATGATCCCTTGGGGGGGAAGCCGGGACATATCCTGGGACACATCCTGAGGTGTAACTTTCTCTGCATTTAAAAGATGCCATGCACACATATTACTTCGGTCCAACTTTTTTTATTTTCTTTTTCTTGCGGGGGAAGCCGGGACATATCCTGGCCCTCTCACCCGACCGGGCAGCCAAGCTGGCCTGGGCGCCCAGTCACTAGGCCTGCAATCAGTTGTATTACATTAGATGACAACAGGGTTTTTCCCACTCAAGTTGGTTGGTGATGTGGACCCGGGGCCCGCATTGGGAAAGAGAGCGAAAAGGCGGCAGGCCTCTTGGGGGAGCAAAAAAATTATTTTCTGGTTTGTCGCGCACTGCTGTTGCCCGCAGCAATTTGGCTTTGCTGGGTGGCGCTTCGGGCAGAGCACCGGAGATCGGGGCCGTGTTCGTGAAGGCGCCCGCGTTTTTGTTGGGAGTCATCTGTTTGTTTCGTTGGCGAAGGGCTCATATCGCGCGTTAGCATTGGCAGAAGGGCCTCGTCGCACCGCTCACCCGATGTACAAAATGGGAATGACTGTTCCTTGAGAACATGGAGAAATGCAGCACCATATTTTTTTGTCTTTTGCACACTCGGTGATGCCCCTCCTGGAACAATACTCAGTAGTTGCAGGTGGAGAGAGAGCCCAGCAGCAGGAGGAATCGGCAGCAGCCCGAGGGAGCTACCTGCAGTGACGCAATCAAGGGACATGGCGGCCATGGCAAGAGGGAAGCACCACCCATGGCAAGAGGCACACACCAGGAATGGCACAAACAAGGAGCCGGGCATGACGACAGGGAGGCACCAGGGACACAAGCAGCAGTCGCAGGGCAGCGCCCACTCTCTCTCTCTCTCTCTCTCTCTCTCTCTCTCTCTCTCTCTCTCTCTCTCGGGCACACCATGGCTATGAGGGAGGCGCAGCCGTGAAGTTGAAAGTGCCAAGGAAGGTGTGAGGGCCGATTCAGTTACTTGGACGAGGAAAAACAGCAATTAGGCAGTGCAACATGGAGCGTGAATGGGGCTCCACCCTCAATGGGAGACAGGAGGCCTGGCGAAAGGAGAGAAGCCACGATGATGCACGGAAGACAAAGGGGGGGTGGAGGGAGGACCAGGGAGGATAACAGAGGATGCAAGGAGGAGGGAGGACAGAGGGACAACGAGCAGGGACCGTGTTCATGACCTAACGAGGAGAACATCAGAGGATGGAGGGAAGAGAAGGCCGGAGGAGGGGGGGAGGACAAGGAGAAGAGTGAATGAAGGGTGGTGGAAGAGGGTCAAGGACCGCAACGATGGATGAAGAAGGACGAAGGATGGGGGGCGGCGAACGAAGGAGCATGTACTCAATCAATCAATTATTCGATCAGTCAATTGATAAATTGGTTGATGGGTTGCTTATTGCACACGGTCATCTCCTCTCTGTTCTCCTCTCCTCCTCTTCCTCCTCTTCATCATGCTCCTCCATATACACAAACAAAAAACCGTCCTGTGCTTACTCGATCCTAGTTTCTCCCCCCCTGTACTCAAATATCCTTGAAATGGACGACGCCAAGTGCAGAGGTTGACAGCACTCCATGTACATCCTGCTCGATGATTTCCTTTTCTTTGTCCATCCTCCAATCCACTCGAAAAAGAAGCTTCAAATATTTTCCGTCAGGATCCAAGCCACAACGGACTATCTTGACTGGTTGATTGATTGATTACCTTGCCAGGATTTGTTTTCTACATCACTGCAGATTGATCGGCTTCGTCGACCAACGAGGAGATGGCAGAGAAGAAGGGGGGGGGAAGGAGAGCAAGGAGGGAGTTGACAGGGGGGGGGG